TATTTTATCACAGAAGTTACGCTTAGATGTTTACCATTCAAATTGCTTTGTTGAGTGTCCTCTTTATCTCAGTGCTTGTTGTTTGCCTCACCTTCGAAGTTCTGCTTGCGACGATTCTAAATTTTTTCAACATCTGAGGTGTTCGTCTCAGAATGTTTTAAATCACGCATGGCTCATTTGGTATCTCTCGAGAACGAGCATGACTTTCCATATTTGGCAGGCTTTCAAGCAATATAATTCGTGGACCGACCCGTTCCGGAAACGATCAACATCTTTGTATTTGAGATGAACGTATAAGGCGTGATTCTTTCGAAAACTCTCTACACAAAACACAACATTCTGTACGTTGTTCACTTAGAGCGAGCACGCGATGAAGCAATCTGTAACAATCTAATCCCCAGTTTCCAAGCTCTACGCTAGGAACGCCTGGGACCATGACCCCCTTTTGGTTACCAAGACCAAACGGCTTGCATTTTATGACTCGGGCTTTCCTTCGGAAGCCTGGGTAAATAGACGACGAGTTTAAGACTAATTTTGAGGTTTCCCAGACTAGACGTTATGTTTTTGTTTTGAATAAGAAAGGGAGGTCAAAGGAGTCTACAAAGCTTATCTTTGCAAACTCGTTATCGAGGGGACATTTTGCTGTCAAGGAGCAGCCGGCGAAGAGTTGCGTGACGACATATTGTGAGCTCAGTATACGCACGCGGAAATCTCAAAGTCGTCTTCAGATCTAAACGAAGATCTCTACTTTAAGGACGCTCGCGCTAATCCTCCGTAGGAAAAAAGATGGCGACTGGTACATTTACCCATAGTTCTCAGGTCACGAAAATCTTAACAACGCTCATAAAAACGTACAGAAACGTTACAAAATCTTCAAACCTAGGCTACTTAATATCCTTCGTACAGGGACAAATATTGTAAAAATTTGGCTTTCTTTGTGCCCTTTAGGCTGTGTTAGGTTCGCAGGGCATTGTGGTAAAATGTACAGCAGCCATCTTTTTTCCTACGGTGGATTGTTTCTGCGCATCCTTACCGCGCGCGCAAATTCACACGCCACGTCATGCATGAGCGCGCGCACTAAGTAATAAAATGAATAATAATGGGGCAGATGGCCATTGCTATGGCTTTGCCTGGATTTAACGATCATGGACGTCCGGTGACCACTATTTTTCTTTCCAGAAACAGATTTTATTTACAATTATCTCCCCATTGTCTAAAAATGAACGAAAAATCAATGTGGGAAGTTGAAAAAATTTCAAGATTTCTATTCACCGGACATCGAATCCTGTCATCTTCTTCCGGCTGCAAGGCGCGTGAAACTATGGTCGCTAAATGCGAACTTGTTCTTTAAGGAACCTTACCGATTGACTAAATTCACTTAATAGGTCCACTTCAACAATATTTAGCAGAGAACATTTCAATTCAAAGTTCTAATTGAAATATGTTTGGGTTTACAGACACTGTGGCCTTATTCGCTAACGAAGCCATATTTTCTTCCGGGCATGTTCTCTCCAAAACGAAGTCGGTGACCCTCCATTTTTTACATTTCTGACATAACTAACTCATCATCTCACAGTGGTAAAT